GGAACGCCACCGCCGTCGGTTCGCCGTCATGTCATTCAGTGTCTCCAACCAACCAGTTAGCCTTTGGAAACCCGATCTGGAAGACAGGAAACACTTACTTCGCGTAATCGCTCTGTGCCGTTTTTCATGTGTGTCCACATCTTTTGTCGGCCTCTGTAACCTGGAGTGGTATACTCTGTTTTTCCCTCTTTCCTTAAGCATTTTCTGTGACCTCGTGGTTCTTTCTGCACCAGACATTTTGCGCACTTGCGACCACACATTCAAACAGTATAATCTTTGATCCACTGAATGGTAGAATCATATACGTGAATACCTGAAGCGATACACACAGAGGAAGCTTCTTCTAGTTTCCATTTTATTCTTAGGAAAATTTGCATCCGCCAGCCGTTAAGGTATGCTAGTGAGTTGGCCGGAAACCATGGGCTATGCTTGCGATAGTTTCCAGAACGTGTTTATTTTAAGAACAGGGATAGCGAAACAAAATACCTACCCGACAGGAGAGAGTGGATGCTTTGGGAGTGGGCTAATCGCTCGCGGGATTTGTTCACTGTCATGCGACTCCACAGGACTTCGCAAACGGAACATATCAATTGACGCGTCGCCCACTGTTTAGTGGATGTTACATTTGAGCGGGCCTCTTGGGATTTGGGACCGGAAGGCGATACGATGAAGGGTAGAAGCTGAGGAAATGAAGACAAATGATGAGACGAAAACAGCCAGTGATGGTATTCGAGAAAATATCATGCCTGGAGAATCGAAACTCCAAGTTTGGTTAGAAAATTATCTAGTGGACACGTTAAATAGATGTCATTTGAACACAAATTATCCCATACAAGGCAAAAAGCGGTGGTCGAATAGCTTTACATCGTTCCCTTAGTGGTGAACGCTGCTCAAAACAACTCATTGGACCCTCGTAACTTTTTTTCTATTACGTACCAAAAAATAGCAGATCGAACGAGAGACACCAGGGTCGCAGCAGACAGGGGGAAAATCAGAATAAGCTACCCTGGCTCGTACTTGTATTTTCCCTAGGTTATTCCTGATGATAGCGTTCTCATTAAACCTTCACGAGAGAGTAAATATAATCCATCAGTGCATGGAATTACCACTGAGCACGTTTCCATTTTACCGAGATATATACATATATACTTGCAAAATAAATCAACGTACAACATACTCGAATAGGGAGATCAGTTCGCGGTTTTCTTATGGGCGGAATTACTATCAGGTTGCCCGACCCATACGGGTGAATTTTCTCGAAAACTTGAAGACGGCGCTTTTAGCCAGCTAAAGCCTGGACCATTAAGCTATGATGCTACATTGATGTGCTACGATCCCTGAGACAGACCTGCATGCTACTGGTCGCGTTTACGAGTCGCAGGTAAGCGAACAGCTACCTGGATGATTATCCGTGAAAAGGCGAAATTCAGTTCACTAAGGAAGCCGTAGTGGACAATCGACAGCAATACCCAGGAACGTGAAGTGTTTCGTCTGGCAAGTGACTCTAAGAGAGGTCGACACTAAATTTAAGCGGTAACCCGTTATTAATGGCACAGGGTCAACAAAGACGAGTCAACACTGTCAGGAGAAGTAAACACTATATCAATCACAAAAGCTGATCCGGATAGTCCGAAAGAGCTATGATCCGAAAAGCCAGGATTTTCTCAGTTATCACCGCTGGTGATGAGTACCGAAAAACGGAAAAGCTGAACAGAGCCGCCAGAATGAAAACTGGGATACGAGATGAAGTCTACGGGGTCATTTTTCTTATCACCACACAGTAAAGTAGTGAGAAATCCTCTGATAGACGCCCATGCAACAACAAACAGAAAGAACTTCTTCAACGAGAAAAACGATATGAGGCTACGCGAGAGGCGCCTAGATGCAACCATTTAAAAATTTCAAAGTGGAAATTCGTCGTGTATATAGCAAATGAAGTGTGAACTGAAAAACTAAGAAGCACTGGACAGCTGTTTAGACTGTGTTGGGTCTCACCCCGAAGGCTAATGTTGAGATGAGAGGTCTGTGGCCTGCAACAAGCTCGCAACGATGGGTTGTGCTATATCGTGTAAATGGAAAATTGAAAAACAGTCTGAGCAGCTGCCCGGTGGCGCAGTGGGTAGCATGCTTGCGTTCTGCCCATGAGGTCCCGGGTCCGAGCCGCAGTTGGGTCGATGGATTCGCAATGCTTATGAGATCCAACCTGGTCGAAACAGCAGTCCAGTGCTTCCTAGCTTTCCAGTTCACGCTGCATTTGCCATCTACATGACGGATTTCCACTTTGAAATTGAATCAAATCCACCATT